TAAACGAATATCCAGTACTGTACAACATTTAATGAATAATGAACTTTATAATTTAATTTATTTAAATAATTTTTTAATTAATAAATATATCAATATTTAGTTTTCTTTTAGATAACAATTAATAGAAGATACTTTTAAAAAATATTCCGGTAATTCATAAAACATTTAAAATGATTCAGATATGTATCACTAGAACAGAAAGAAAAGCAATTGTCTGAGAGGTTTCCGGTCACAAACTATACCTGCTGACTTTTACCACAAACTATACCACCAAATATTATCATTAATATTTTGATTTATAAACAAAAGATTTTAAAAATTAATACCGTTTGCAGTTATGTTTAGAATGATTTATATATAAAAATTCATAACTTTTAATGATACAATTTCATACAAAATTCTTGTTAATATTTCCGTAATTTGTTAATAAGTCACTTTTGTATTTTAAATATTTTATCAAACAAGTATTGATAGTAATAAATTATTACTACCAGTAATAATTAAAATATTATTTATATATAATATTCATCATTACTCAAATATTACGAAATAAATTCAATTAAATATAATTTATTTTCATTTCATTGACTTTAATTCAGTTAATGCTTTGTTTGAAAGAGAAATTAAGGGAGAATGAAATTAATGTAATAATAATTAGTAAACATATAAATGAATTAATATTTTCATTAATTTCCGATTACGTCAATATTTTTGCTAGTTTTGTTGTTTAAGCAAATAATTTGACAAAAAAAATAATTAATTTCTTTTAATGATTTTCTGTGCAAATGTTTAGTACACAGAAAATTAAAGTAACTTTTGATATAAGAGTCCTAATAGAGCAAAGTTTGTAACAAAAGCCAATGGTTTACCGTAGAAAATGCATTCGTATAGTAATTATTATCAAATGCAATGCAATTATTATTCATGAAATGTTGGGCTAATTATTAAATCGATTTGGATTTGATCGCAACATAATTGTGACGAACGGATCATTTGCTCAAAACATTAGTGTTTTTTCCCACTTGTGTTCAATGCTCTCTGAAAAGCGATTGAAAACTTGTTTAAATTTCGCAAAATAGACATAACTATAGCCAACAACTAAACGAAATGTCATTAAATGGCAAAAATACAGTTCACATTACATTCCTCTTAATGGGAATCGAATTTCAATAAAAACTAACGATTATAACGATTAAGGATTCATTGAAATTATAGGTTAAGAATTGTTTTATTAGATTTGAGTTTAGAGTTTGAACACAATTTTGCGATAATTCTCTATCGCCTTCTCGTCATTTGAATAATATATCAGATTTCGCGCTTCCCTTCACCGCAAACCTGAAATCAATGTTAATTAGATTTATTGGAAAACTAATGATTATATTAATTATATTAAACACAGAATTTGTGGTATTTCTTAATCTCTGATCACATCTGTCTTTAACTCAATGCAGGTATGGTTTAGTAACCGAAGAGCTAAATGGCGTCGACATCAAAGGATGTCTAACTCCAACAGTTCAAAGTACTCACTGATGGGCTCAAGAGATTCCGGCGACAGTCCGACAGTGGATATGAATTCCAGAGATTCGTGTGCTTCGCGCGACTCCTTTGATACGATATCATCGCAACAACACCGCAGTAATCATAGCTGTAATAGCGATACACCCCGTGGCTCACCGTCCCCTCAGCCCCCGGACTCGGCTAACAATATCTCCGATACGACCGCATCCACCACTAGTCTTACAATCGGTGGTCACAACTCGGCCTTCAAGAAAATCAAATAATATACCCATTAGTACCCAATTCTGCCATCCATTACATCAGTCTAACCATTATCTCAATTGTTTTCAATTGCTTTTTAAACTTTATGTATAAAAACTATTTGAATTAATATCTCACTCATTGCTATTGATTTAATAATAAGCACTTACGGAATAACTTAATATTGATATTTAGCGTATTTGTAAATAGAAAAGACACACAAATCATTAAAAATTTATAAACTGATTGTTATTATGACCGACATTCATATAATCCTAACATAATTTATTATTCAAAACTCTTTTTCAGTTAATAAATAGAATGATTAGATTAACGATAAAACTATTAAAAACATCAAACATTTGATATGTATATAAATAACATTAAAATTGATTGATTCAAAAGTATCTGAATTTCTTTTGAGCTCATGTTTTGTGTTAGTTGTGAACCAAAAAACCAAAAGTTGGTCTTAAATAAAGTTTTGCGGGGATAGTTGTTTGACTCATTGCTATATTACTGTCAATTGTATGCCTGAAAACGTGGGGAAAGGACTTAATTACCTATAATTAGGAAAATCTCTAAGCATTTATCAATCGATTACTACTGCAATAAAAAACAAATCAATCGATAATACATTACTTATGTATTTCATAGAGAAATTGATTCAAACATTTTTGAAACCAACACTTTATAATAAAATTGATTATTTAATAATAACAACAATAATAACAATTTAAACAAAAAAATCCAATTTATTATCCATTAACATTATTTCAAAGCGATTTAATAAAATAAAAGTCATATAAAACTTGTAATTAATTAAATTATTAGTTTATTTTTATCGACTTATAAGTCATTAATCACTTTATTGCTCACTAAATAACTGAATAAAAAATACTAAATGAAGCCATAAATCTAGAAATAATATAATAATTGTTGAAAAATAAAGTTTCCTTTTGAGAGCAAATAATATTTCAAATATTTTATCACTTATTAAAGGGTGGAATAAATTTACAGAAATTATTATTCAATCAAAACCCATCAATATTTGTGCAAATGTCTCACAAAGTTTTCTTTGAACGGTACAAGAGGTTAGACACTACCGGACTAATACTACCAGGGCTACCTATTATCACCTTATATTCTTAATTTTATTTCAATTTAATAATGGTATATTTTAGTTTTAATTAATTAGCGCAAAATAGAAATCTTAAATATTTTTATTTCAAGTAAATTGTAATTTCTTCAATATTTTAATTACTAAATATTTATTAAATTATTTGTACCAATATGTAGAATAATTGTCAAGTTGAGTTAAATTTCTATAAATTGTTTATAATTGCATATTGAATAATAAAAATAATAGGAATAATAAGCTTATTATTTTATTAACCAGCCTAATTTATTAGAGTTTAATTGAATTGACATTTAAACATAATTAATAGAATAATGAGTTAATTATTTCTCAACACTTATAATAGTAATTACTAATTAGGTTTGAATTTAAAAATAATTGTCAAAACGATTTTCAATTAAAATCAAAAATAATGTATTCATTAAGTATTTATAGTACGAGACATTAAATTACAATAAATATTTTAACGAGAGTTCAATAGTAACAAAACAAAGTGCTATAATTAAGTTAAATGTAATTACAATTAATTAAGTAATTAAATTGAATAAAAATCAATGAAAACAAATTCATTCATTAATACAAAAAAACTTTTGTTAAGAATTGAAATGAATTGAGAAATTGTGCGAAATCTAACGAATAGTTTGACGCCATCTCTGAACCCAGAATCCAATGAACGGCAAAATTCTAATCCTTTTTCGAAGTGAAAAAATTCATAAAAATATTTTGAGCGCAGAGTTTGAAAACATTTTTTTAGGAGAAGAGAAGTGAATCCGAAATTGTGGGCAAAAATCTCCAAAACCTGTTTTAGGCCCAAATAGTATCGCTTTCGGCAATTTCGCCATCACTTATAAAAACACTTATACTCTCACTCTCTGTCCACTTCTCTCCACTTCATTAGACCTTTACTTTCACTTTAAGTCTGGGTTTTAACTTTATTTTAATCATTGGCTTCTCAACTGTTGTTAAGTTGAAACACAAGTTTATAGTTAGTATTCTTGAGTCAAACAATTTTTTGTTTCAAAAGTTCATAAATCTTTTGTTTTATTTTCAAACATTCGCTTAAATATTCACATTTTAACCAACATTTCCATTCAGTCCACTAAAGTTATGATTGAATTCATGAATAGTTTTAATTTCGTCAATATTTTGACTCCAGTTTTGTTGCTTTTGTTTCTAACTCTTTGTGCTATTATTACCATTAAATCAAAGTTAAAGGCAAAGAAGTGGATAAGAAGTGAGTCTTTTATATTTTGCATAATTAACTCAAAATAACAGAATTTTTATGTCTTTTTGCAAAACCGTAATATTGTATCAAAAGAAAAAACAAAATAATTTTCTAGTTTTAACTCAAGATTTTGACTGCAGTTCTAACTCGAAGTTAATGCAAAACTAGTTTATTTGACTAAACCATAGCATATAACAAGAATAAATATTTTAAGTTTTGCAAAAAATACTTTTAAAAACTTATAGATTTGATGCATTGTTTGCCAATTGATATGATTAGGTCCGCCGTCACCGTTATGTCTGCCAGTGATCGGACATATGTACCTATTGTCCAAATATCAGGACAACCCATGGATGGGATTCAATGAGATCAGGAAAAAGTATGGGGACGTCGTGTCGCTAAAGATGGGTCAATGCAAGGCTGTATTGGTCTCATCGGCCGAAGCCATGAGGGAAGTGCTGCTCCTTAAAGGCGATGTCTTCTGCGACAGACCATCCTTTCACAGATACGGACTCATCTTTGGTCGTGACAAACACAACTGTGAGATCCATTTCCTCCTCTTATAATTGTTATACAGTATTGAATGCATTGATGGCAATGATATGGTTTGTGGACAGCTCTGGCACTATGCGATTGGTCTGATCTGCAGAAAACGCGCCGATCTATGGCTCAGTCGGGAGTTATACCCAAATATGGGTCCAAATGCTATAAAGATCTTTCGAAATGCATTGAAAATGAAGTGAATCTTATGGTAAAGCAAACGATTGACTGCAAAGAGACCACTATTTTGACGAAACAACACATCCTTATTCTGTGCGCAAAGATATTCATTAAGTATTTGTGTTCAATAGAGTAAGTCTTATATCACTTCTGTATTAAAATAAATCTTTAATTGATTATCAAATAAGAGTAGAATATTAAGCAAAATATTTGATATATAAAGTCATATGAATGTCATGTAGTGGTGAGAGTTTGGTTAATATAGTATTATTTATGAGCATTTATGACAACTAATCGTTTGAATAATTTTTTATGATATTAAAAAGTGATATTTTATGGTTTAGGCCTCCAAATGGTTGCAAAAAATTTTTAGATGCCGTTCATAACTACGACTATATCTTCCACGACATAAACCAATGCTATGCCATTGATTTCATACCCTATCTATCAGTTTTGGGATTACATAAGAGTTATTTCGATTTCGTTGAAGACTCGGCCACCAGTTTGAGGTAATAATGGTTTGCATATCAAATGATTACAAGATTTATATAAATGTACCAAAAGTGCACCAAATGAGCAAAATTTGGTTGAGTTTTCAGAGTTTGATGGCTTTTATTTCGAAAACGGGTTATTCAGGCAACAGTGCATCTGTTCAATCGCTTATCATATTTAAGGCTATTTTTCATACAAGAATTGTTAGTATGAATTCTCACACTAACCATAGGTCTGCCCCCGACTGTGTCCTATCCTTGGGATCATCAGTTTGGTAGTGAATACTAGTTTGTGAGTGAATGTCAAAATCACTTTCACTCACTCGAGGGAAGTCTAATTAAATTCATGCCTCCAGTCATGAGAAGTCTTAAGACTATTTTCGCTGAACACATGTGGATATACCGGTTCACATATGACACTAACCATGGCTTATACTCAATACAATTTACAGTTTTTTGCACGAATTTTTATTTTTCACTTTATTTGTTTGAATTTTAAATTAATTTTTATTTGTTTTGCTTAAAATTAGAAAATAGGAATTGAAAATTTGCTTTAACTTAATAGTAATCAGTTTTTGAAGCATTATTTAACGATATTCTATATTCTATAGAAAGCTTTTTGAGAAAATATGTTATATTTTGTGATTAAACAGAAATTATGTGGAGAAGGAATTGGTTGGACAGAGATTGGAGGCAACTGTTGATAGACTTGAAAATGAAGGCATCGATGCAAAGGAAGGAAGGGATGACTTCTTGGAGTTAATGTTAGAGCATTATGTGAGAAACCCTTCGTCCATGAGTTGGTCGGAATGTATGTATGAAATCGGGGACTTAGTTGGGGGCCACTCGGCGGTCGGAAACCTATTGATGCGTTTGATTGGATTCGTGGCACTCAATCCCAACGTTCAGAACCAGCTCTACATTGAGGCGAAGAATGCACTGAAAAGGCTTCCAAACGATGAGGGGATCATTAATTTAGAGCACCGGCCGGTTATGCCTTTAACTGAAGCCAGTATTCTAGAGACACTTCGCCTCACATCCTCACCAATTGTGCCGCACGTCAACAAAGTGGACGCAACCCTTCAAGGTATATGTCATTTCATTTAATAGCAATAACTACAGAAAGTTTTCTAAATTAAAATAACTTTTTCATTTCAACATTGGATTGCATTTTGTTTGTCATGACATTTGAATAGACTATGACATAGAGAAGGGAACAATGATATTATTCAACACATATTACCTGAATATGTCTGCGGAGTACTGGTCGGATCCACAACAGTTCAAACCATCGCGTTTCGTGTCTTCGAGTGGAAGTGTTAGCCATATATCAAAACCGGACCACTTTTTCCCCTTCTCAAGTGGACGTCGCGCGTGTTTGGGTTACAAAATGGTTCAAACGATTACATTCACAGCAATCGCTAATTTGGTTCTCAATTTCGAAATCTCTGCCCTAAATGATGAACAACGCTCTGAAATGAGCCGACAATTGGCCCCAAAAGGCTGTCTGGCATTGGATTTGTCAGACAAATGCTTTAAGGTTTCCCTAAGTCCAAGGCCTGAGAAATAAGTAGTTTTTATATTAATTTTAAATTTAATGTCATGTGAAGACAGTTCTCATAAATTTAGTTAATTTTTTTTTCTAAGCTTTCATTTCTTACATTTCCCTAATTTATTAAATATAAAGCAAAATGTTATAAATTTTCCCATATTTTCCATCCGATTATAAATTAGAATATGTATCACAAGTTTTTGGTTTCGGTTATTATAGAAATAGTTTTCATATTAATTGTATTTAATTTAAAATATTCAATATATGGCTTAATTTTAGTGCATTTATGTAAATGTTTTACTCAATCGTAAATCTATTTGGAAATAAATTCAATTCTTGTTCACAAAGATCTTGAGTTTGAATTAATTATGTGAAGGAAATTCTTTCCAACTTTTGAGACCATATATTACACACAATAAACAGGAGATTGAAACTTCTGCCAAAAAATATTGAATTCATAAATATTAGGAATGAATGCACAGAATATTTCCTTTTTCATTGTCCTTGTGCTGACTATTCAAGTGTTTTCAACATTTGTATCAAATAAAGTATCATTTTATAAATTTACTTATATTTTGCCCTTTATTTATAACAATAAATTCAATCAAATTCTAATACATAAATGTGATTTATGCCTGAATCTCAGACAATATAACATTTAATTTAAATATCAAGCGTTTATGCATAAATCATAAAATAATTTCCAATATTCACTTTTAAATGGAGTATAAAATTTAATAATGAATATCTATTTATAAAACAAAAAAGACTAATCAATCGATTAATAGATCTATATTTGTGTTATTAATATCACTAACAAGTAATTGTATGTAAGATATATTTGTCAGAAAATAAAAATTAGATTTCAATTCAAAATGTTTGCATCAATTCAGGCGTAAATGCATTCAGAGGACGAATGCGTGGAACCATTGAAAGTGTTACACGAGTTATGTTTGTTTGACTTATGATTACTAGAGCTATACAACTGAAGTGCAGCCAAATGTAGTTTCTCTACAAAGTCGGGAACACCGCTGACAGCCATCCAGTTATAGGCCGGCGATGGAAAGGCAGCTCTCGGGTCATCAAAATATGTGAGCAAATAATCAAAGCCGCACTCATCGAAAGTGGTGTGCGGTTTGATCACCATTTGGGACGAGTAGTCAACCACACGGACGTGTTGTGTGCATTCCGGCAGTGCAGGGTATTCAATGGATTTCGAGACCAAAACCATTAGGTTTTCCTTCATATCAATCCGAGACCGCCGTAAGTATACGTAATCTCTGGTATTCATCGGATACTAAACACAGACAAATCATTGAAGGTTACCAGGATAACTTATCACATTTATAGTTTACTATGATATAATTATCTAATCAACAATTACCGGGTATTTCATAATCCAATGTAAAACTTCATTTCCAGAGTCTTCACTGTTTAGCTGATCCCTATCAGTGACAAAGGGTTCCCTTTCGATAATATCGAGTTTGATAACCAGTTTATCCCATCTCTTGCGGTATTCTGTGTCCATCTGAACCCTATAGAAAGATCGCGCCGGTATGTCATTGAAAGTACCAAAAACTAAACCCAAAGCATACAAAGTATTAATTATTAGTTCATAAATCAAATCAAATCAATGCTTCATTGAAACAAACCTTTGTATTGATAGAGAGAAGTGTTGGCAACTGCTTTGCGCCACAGTTTGAAGTCATCCCTCATAATAACGGCCTCCCATTGAGCCTCACTCTCATCATTCAAATCGCGAGTTTCGGCCGAAACTGAAAACGATGTGCTCTTCGGGATGTCATTCATTTGGATGCGATTCGTGGCACCGACTCTTTGGACGCTCTCGAAGTCAGTAATGGTTTGCTTGAGGTCTCCATCAGTGATGCGCTGACTGTCCCAACAGAAGAGCCCACAGACGGCAGACATGAGACATTTGAGCGAATCCTTGGACTTCTTGTTACCGGAGAAGCGATTGCGTAATGAAGTCAAAGCCCGGGCTCTGAGGCGGACCAGCATTTGGGACATGAGTTGATTGACTGCGGATTCGCTGTAAATACGGTTATAGAGGCCACAGATCTGAGCCATTCTTCGCAGTCTTAAACTCATGTAAACGTTTGACTGTTGCCTCAGGAGTGCCATAAAGAGTATCACCTTTTGGTTCAACTCTTCGCGAATTGAGTCCCAAAACGACTGACCATTTTGTCGCCCATTTGTCACCATATGATGTCTGCCGAAGAGTTGGTTGCCATTCGTGTTGAGCGACTGCAGGCGTTGTCTCAACAGAGTATGCGTACGGAAGTGATTGGCGATCATCTGAGAAGAGTTCAAATACATTGTCTCTCACCTCATGAGTGAGTGGTTCACCACAAGACACAAACAATCACTCATTCATTCACTTCTCGATCAATGTTTGCATTCAACGCACGAGTCGTCCAAACATTACGTCATTTCATTGCAAACGAGTGGCAAATGTTGGACTCATTTGTGCCGATGAATGACAATCTGTGGACACTTTGATGACATTCATGGACCCATTGGTCACTCATGAGGCCATGGGTTGCAGTGAAAGCACACGAATATGAATAGCAGTGAAACAGCAGTTGTCGTGAAGTCTCGGACTTTGACTGCAAAGCAATGACCGTATGATTGGTTTGTTTGCTGTGAGCGTGAGATTCAAAATACATTGCAATCAATGTATGTATGGTTTGACTGAAGGGTCGACACAAACGGCTTGTCATTCACTATGAGTTCGCAGGCAATGGACACGTCTTGTGACCCAATCCGCGAAGACTATCACAAGGAGTGCGTGAAGAGTGGCGAAGAGTGTGGAGAAGAGGGTCGCGACGACAGCCACGGGTCGGACGACCACCATATCGAGGGTCGCGTCAAATGCCATGCCTTTCGGCGCACAACACATGACTCGGAGGAAGAAGAGAGCGATTCGGACGACAAGACGGAGGAAGTGGTGCACGGGTTCAGTGATCGCCAGAATCTCAATGTGAAGACCGTGTCGAAGGAGACACCAGTCGTGTCCTCGAACTCGACGGGAGATTCGCTGTCGAAGACCCGAAACAACTCCTCTAAGAGTGAGACAACGAAACAGAAGGACTACAAGAAGCCGAAGACCAGCCAATTGTCCAACAAATGGGGCGAAACGGTGGGCATCACTGACACCGAGGGTCGCGCCAAACGTGTGGTGAATATGTCTGAACTGAAGAACTTCGTGCCGTTGCGGATGCGATACAACTCGCAGTTCAAGTACTACTTCGCTCTCATCGACCAGCGATACCCTCAGCTGTTCCGGACGTACGCCTCGGGAGACCAGAGATGGCGAATGCGTTACAACATCTTCGTTGACGGACTGTTTGATGCGTTCAAGAAGTGGGACTCAATTCTACACATCGGAGAGATTATGATCTACTCTGACATNCTCATCGACCAGCGATACCCTCAGCTGTTCCGGACGTACGCCACGGGAGCCCAGAGATGGCGAATGCGTTACAACATCTTCGTTGACGGACTGTTTGATGCGTTTAAGAAGTGGGACTCAATTCTACACATCGGAGAGATTATGATCTACTCTGACATCTCAGAGGACACCTCAACACCAGTTTACGTCAACTCTTCGTTTTACGGCAATTATACGCCACTCGAGAGGACTGTCGACACCTCACGACTAACGCGAGTGATTGTCCGCATCCACGACATCCTCACATCCAGTCTTATGCTTCAACTCAAGTTCCCGATCGACGAGAAGGCCTTCAGACAGACGGACGGCTTGTTCTACAAGTTTCTGTTGCGTCAGAAGGACCTGATGGATGAGCAGAGGTATGTGAGCCGTCGCACCACTCAGTGCTTCCCAATGAGGAATCGGTTCACTATTGAAACGAAGCGCTCTATTGTGGGCCTAAAAGACGACTTTCAGAGCAGACCTATCGATAACAGAAGACGCGATCACATCTATAGGCCGTCCACTCAGAGGCGAAACACTGAGAGAGTGGACGCTTCTGACGGCGACTTCAATGGCTCGAAGACCTATCGATTCAAAGACAATAAGAGCATACGATCTGAACAACGGGTCAAAGACTGTCTCTTCAAACGAAAGACCGACGCTTTGCCGGACAAGACATCCAATTGTGAATCCGTCGACAGGAATGCATCGAAAAGTTTGTTCAAAAAGTCTTTCCAAAGAAGGGATCGAAGTGTCGACCGAATGGACGAAGCGTTTGGTTTGGATTCCAAAGCTTCGGATGAGTCGAGAGTTGGACGCAATGCTGACCACAGGTCCCGACCGAAGACACTCCGCCGTTAGACACAATGTTTGCGACTTTTATATCCTTTCAATAATTTTAAGTCATATATTAATACCATTTTTTGTTAAATTGACTTATTTTTAGTTTAGAGTTTACGACAATTTGTTTTATATTTTATTTAACTTATCGTTCGTTTTGTTTAAATGTTTTTAATTACTATATAAATGTTGCTATTTTGTGTAAATTGTATTTTTTGTTTTTAAGTTTACTTTTTATGAAATAAATTTATTTATTTATCGTATAATTATTTTGTAATACATACAGGAAATCATTATTTAAAGACTAATTTTGAATAATAGACATTATTTGTATTTATTAATATTTGTCGATGGATATTAATATAATTAACAAATTATTTGTAAATACTATTCATAAAAGTGCATAAATAATTGCTATAGAATTTGTGAGAATTTTATGGTCTTGAAGTCAAAACCGCTAATATATTCGTTGCCGAAGGCTATTAGGAAACAACTGGTGATAAATGCCTTAAATTTGTGTTTCTGTAGAATTACCACCAATTTATGAATCCATTCATATTTTTAATAAAAGCATATTTCAATTTTACAATAGTTTATCCATTATTATTATACTCATAATAACCTCTGCAATATAAAATATTGTAATAGTTAATTTAATTTATATCAATACTATCTATTATCAGTATATTATAGAATATGAAATACAGAACTGTGTTATATGGAT